AAATGGAGACACTCGGAAGGTCACACAGTCACTTCATTGTTGAGTTTGCCTTTGGAAGGAGAAGGGGGTGGGGAGTTGGGGGCAGACTGCAGAGAAAGGGGGTCTACACCCAAGATGGCTAAAGGGGGGACCTGGAGGGAGTGGCTAGGCAGTGGTGGCAGTGGGTAGGACAGGTACTGGGAAAGAGGAAGGAGCACCAAGAAGAGGGGAAGGAGTGGCTCTGGTGGACCTCAAACTGCCCGAGATGTGGAGGAGGAGGTGAAGCCAGGCAGGAGGAGGAGTGTCCTGGATCTGTACCCACTGCCAGGTTTCCCCCAGCAGGGCCCCCTGCCCTCCAGCAGTGTCTGCCCCATCACCTTCTCCAGCTCAGTGCCCTCCACGCTCAGGCCACCTCCTCTACCCCTGGACTCTGGACGCAGCCTCCTCCTGGCTCTGTCCACCCCCACCAGGGATCTTTCTACCCTCTGCCCTCCCTGCTTACAGACCTGTCATGGCTCCCAGCACCCCTGGCAAATCCCCCAGTCCCTCAGCCTGGGATCCAGCTCCCCCCTCGAGCCCCACCCCCGGCGCGGAGGTGGCAAGCCCTCTGCTACAGCCTGAGCACCTCTCTGGTGGTTGGTGCCCATCTCCACAGACTCAGTAGGCAAATTCAGTTAGAAGGTGGTCACATCGTCTCCTCATTGTATTCCACACGAACAAGAGTGGGCACCCGGAGCCCACGGGGCATCTGGCAGTGCTGCGGAAGCGGGTGGACGCCGGACTCCCACGGTCTTGAGTTCGAATCCCGGCCCTGGCAGCGCGTCCTGGGGAGGGGGGGCGCACCGTGCACGAATTAGGCTCATACCTCGCAGCTGCTCTGCGAGGAGTAGAAGGCCCGGGGCGCTCAGACCGACGGTGTACGAGCGGGGAGGGCTCCTGCGCGGGGCTGGGGACGTGTCGGGGTGAGGAGTCTCATGACAGCTATTTTCCGACATTTGATGACAGACTGTCTCCTAAGGCTGGGAACATCTCAAACCAGGCCAGATTGGGGGCGACGCCTCCCCTCCCGCGTTGCCTGCGAGAAACAGAGGTAGTGATTAAGATCGCATAATTACCTCCTCCTGCCTGGGATCTTGGGGTTAGGACTGCCTTCCCCTAGCTGCGCGCTCCGCCAGCGTAGAGGCTTCACGCTGCAGTCTCCACCCGTGGGAGGGACTTGCACCTACTATGTGCGGGGCCAACACGTGCGAGATCAGGGCTCCCCAGCAGGTGAAGGCTGCAGGCTCCCCAGAATGGAAAGTACCCCCGGCTGGAATGTCGACCCCGCCCCCAAGCTAACATTCAGGCCCCCCCTCTGGGATATGAGCCCTCCCACTTGGACATCAGCCCCTCCTCCTGGAGTGTTAGCTCCGCCCCCTGGACTCCAGCCCCTTCCCCAGGATGTCAGCCTCTCCCCCTGGAATGTCAGTTCTTCAATTCAAGATCTTTGCCTCCTGCGCCATTTACCCTCCGGGTACTCTATGAGCGAAACTGAATGGGTTGATGCAGTCAGCCCCGTCAAGTGCTGTGCGACCTTCCGTGAGTGACTTTACCTCGCTGAGCCTAGAGTTTCCTCGTCTGTATGAAGGACATCAAGGCAGTGCTGTCCCCATGGGTTGAGAGGCTGATGTCGGGGGCTCACAGGTTTATAAATCCCTGGACAGGATCTGGCACTCAGGAGGTCGTGATGGATGGAGGAGCGACTCGCCTCCTGTTGTCACAGCAGTCTGATGCGGTGAGGAGTTTCAGTCCCCACCGGGCGGAGGAGAAACCCGGGCTCCGGGAGGCGGTCCAGGGAAATGCCAGCCCCGGCGGGACCTTGCCCAGGAGCGCTCCCGAGCGCAGCCCCGCCTGGCCACGCCGCCAGCTCCCCCGCCACCAGAGACCACCGCCCCCGCAAGGAGAGTCCCGCAGCGGGCCCTGAAAGCCACCGTCTACTTGAGAGAACGCGTCGCCGCACTCATTAGAAAATCAATGCAAATTAAAAACCTCCCCGGGATCCACTTTCCCTGGAGAAGGCGAGGAGCAGAGAGTCTGACTCGCGGTTGCGTTGGCGAAGCCAGCCGTGGAAACAGCTTTGCGGAGCGGCGCTGTGTGGCGGTGTCTGGCGACATGGAACACGCCCTCTGACCCTGCAGTTCCCCGCCGAGGAGCTCGTTCTAACAGGTGTCACCGCTGATCGTCGCAGACTCGTCGCGCCTCCTCGGTGCCGGCAGCCACCTGGGCGCCTCACCCACACTAACAGGAGAACTCCTCGCGGCGACCCTTTGCCTGAGGCCCCATCAGTGTCCCCATTTTACACGGGTGGAAACCAAGGCGTGGAGGGCGGGAGCGGCTTGCCTGGTGTCCCCAACAATAAATGACCATGTCTTCGTGTGGACTAAGACTTTTTTGGGACTCAAAAAAGTACATAAATGTTAAGGGATTTTATTGCTAGGAGTGTGTGTGTGTGTGTGTGTGTGTGTGTGAGAGAGAGAGAGAGAGAGAGAGAGAGAGAGAGAGAGAGAGAGAAATTTGAAGATAAATGAAAAAGAATAACAATTTCCCTCCAAGAACCATCTTCTTATCCTTGTCCACACCTTTTCCTTAATTTCCTCATTAACCTCTATTAAGGTTGATGTTTCCTTTCAACTTTTGGTGCATTCATTTTATTGTTCTTTTTCTACTTTCTGGAATGGTTTGCTTTACTAATTTCCTTTTGGACTTTTGTTTTTCCCCTATTAAAATTTAGAGCTACAGATTGTCCTCTAGGCACTGCCTTGGTACTGCCTTGGTCCTCCCTCGGCCAGTTTGGGTGGGCAGTGTTTCTAAATCAGGCAAACTTGAGTTTTGATTATGGTTGAACACAGGAGGTACTGATAAAGGTGTTTTGCAACTATGTCCAAGGCAATAGGAGTGGGAATTTTGGGTCCTTCCTCATATTGGATTTTTAATTTCCAATGTGGCCTGTGTTACTTCTACTATGCGGGATCATTCTAGGCTGTGCTTATGACCTAAATCAACCAGTTTGGGGTGGGGAAAGAATACCATTGTAGAATCTTGATTTTTTTTAATGCTCTAAAGCTCATAATTGGGACAGTTAGGAAATTTGAATATGGACTTTTGTTAGATCATATCATGTTAAAGTTCTTAAGGAGAAGAATGAAGTTATGGTTGTACAGGGAAAATGCCCTTGTTCTTAGTGGCACAGGCTGAAGAATTTATAAGTGACACCTAATGTCCTATTTGCACCTACTTTCAAAAGTTTCAAAATTTTCTGGAGCTGCCTGTAAACACGGCCCCTTAAGGACAGCACCTTGTCAGGGCTCCCTTCCCTGTGTCTCTGTCTTGGCTTCCTACATGGTGGAGGTGCGATAATGTACACATGCAGGTGTGTGGAAAGGAAGTGGGAAGAGAGAGGGAACATGGGAACATCTGTGGGGTGGAAAATATTAACATCTGGGAACTTTATAGGAACCAGGTAACTGAATGGTAACCAGTATTGTACTGATAATCATACCTTAGAAGTTTTTCAAATGAAATCTTTTGTTTTTTTAAAAAAATTTTTTTCAGTTGTAGTTGGACACAATACCTTTATTTATTTATTTTTATGTGGTGCTGAGGATTGAACCCAGCACCTTGCACATGCTAGGCGAGCACTCTACTGCAACCTCAGCCCATAAAAGACAAGTGTTTACAACAAAGTTTGGAACAGAGGTCACCTTTAGAGTTGGAGGAGTGATTGGGAGGAGGAGGAAGAGGAGGAGGAGGAGGGGGAGGAGGAGGAGGAGGAGGAGGAAGAGAACCCTGGAGTAGTGTTTTATTCTGTGACCTGGCTAAGTCGGGCTCGCATGGTTTTTCACTTGGTGATCAATCAATTAATTCTCCCAGTTCTTTTTTTTTTTCAATGTTCTCCAGAATGTGTGTTAGATGGAATAATTTTCCAACTTTCAAAGATACATTGTAGCAAGCTCAAAGCAATCTAGACACCCATCAGTAGGGGTTGGGTGAAATACCTTTAGGCACAATATATCTACATAAGAGAACACTTGGCCCCACCACTGAGAAACCATGTGGCAGCCTCACAGACATTTATAAGCAGCCGTCTCTTAGACCCACTCTTGTTTGTTTGTTTGTTTGTTTGTTTGCAGTGCAAGGGATTGGAATCAGGGTTTCCTGCATGTCAGGCAAGCACTCTACCACTGAGCCACATCCCTAGTCCCTAGACTCTTAATAGAACACACATGGTGTGGGATAATGTACTTGGCATGTTCTGTTTGTGTTAAAAATAATTGTGCATGGGTAGGCTATCTGGAAGGATATGCAAGAAGGTGATGTCATCTCCAGGGAGGAAGAGTAGGCATGGAGGATGAGGAGTAGGAGTGAGAGTTTCTTTTTTGCCATGTGCCTACACCGCTTTAAAGTTTTGGTTTGTTTTTAATAAGCCACTTCCTGCAGTTAGTGTTTTTCAAGGTGCCTCCATCCTTCCCGTCACCGGGGTACCGGGTCATTTAGTCCTATCCTCACCCATGAATATGGAAGCATTTGGTCCCATTTTACAGAGTTGGTCAACTAAGGCTCTGAGTGGCAGAGTTTCAGAACACGTCAGAGCTGGGCCAGAGATGCCACTAAGAATTGGGACAAGTAGTGTGATGGTGTCTGGTTTGGATGGTTTTTTGTTTGTTTGTTTGTTTTTCCTCTCCCTAGAACTAAGGGAATGGTGCCCCACGACTAGGAACCACTAGCATCTCTATCCCTGGAGAGAAGCATTCATGGCATGTATCAGCAAGGGCCGCTCTGGGTTTCCAGTAAGAGCAAGTCTGACTCTAAGTGGCTTTGGCAATATGAAAACTGATTACCTCCCTTCATCCAGTTCCAGAGGTTGGTGGCCCAACAGGTACAGGTCCATTCAGCTGCTGCAGCACAGACACCAGGTGACAGTGGCTCCAGGGAACTGGAATTTGAGCTCTCTCTTCATGGCCCGGGTGTGAACATCCAGGGCTGGCATGGGCTCTCCTTGGGGACACATAGCTTCCCATGTGGCTTGCCACAGTGGTTGCTGTGCAGATTGTAAAAAAAAAAAAAAAAATGGCCCCAGTTCCGCATGCCGCTCAGAATCCATGGCCTTTTGCAATGTCGCTTTGCGGATTTTCCGATTGAGAGGTGGAACCTCTCACCTGGTCTAGGCTGGCGTGTGACTTGTTTTGACCAGTAGGAATGATGGTCACCTGTGCAAAGTTCCAAGCTTTATCTCCTGCTTTTCTCACTCTTAAAACACTCCTCGTGGGCTGGGGATGTGGCTCAGTGGTAGAGCACTTGCCTAGCAGCACAGGACCCTGGGTCTAATCCCCAGTACCCCCTAAAAATCAAACAAAACAAAACCTCTCCATATAAATGCCACATTAAAAAAAAAAGTCACTCTGCGGGACAATACGAACTATATGGCTTGGCCAATCCCATTATCCCAGTTGACCAGCCACCCCTCCCAGAATCATTTAGCAGGTCCACAGGTGCATGAGGGGGTCCAACTAAGACAAGAAAACTGCTCAACTGAGCCCAGTCTAAATTTCTTAACCACAGAAATCATAAAAGGTTGTGATTCTAAGCTTTTCGATTTGGGGAGTGTTTGTTCCACAGTAAAAGCTAACTGATCCATTCACTGTCTAGTCACATGGAGAAAGGAAGGGGCAAGCCCCATTCATTTAAAGGCACTTCAAGGAAGTCACACTGATGATATCCACTCCATCCTACTGGCCAGAAAGGAGTCCCATGGATGCCTCTACTTGCTACAGTTACTGGAAAATGTAGTCTTTTCTTTCTTTCTTTTTTTTTTATTTGTCTGTCTGTATTTCCTCCTTCTTTCTTTCTTTCTTTTCAACCACATGTCCAGCTTAAAGCAGATAAAACTGTTGTAAAGAAAGGGAATGAGGGCTGAGGTCGTAGCTCAGTGGTAGAGTGCTTGTCCTGCATGTGTGAGGCCCTGGGTTCGATCCCCAGCACCACACAAAAATAAACAAATAAAGATAAAGATCTTGTGTCCATCTACATCTAAAAAAATAAAATAAAAATTAAAGGACTGGTGGGGAATACCTAGCTGTCCCTTAGGTGAGGGACTGCTGGGGCGACTTCCTAAAGAAGAGGCAGATCCTTGGAAGCCGGCCTAAGTTAGGGTTTGCAAGCTATGGAGGGAGATTTCCAGCTGCTACTCGGAGGTTCCCATTGTCCTCTGGAGACTTCATCTCTGGGACAGGATGATTGATGAATCCCTCATCGCCAAACGCTCTGGCCAGGGCAGAAGGCAAAGACTGAAAAAATTTTTCTTGGAAATCTCTGCCAATAAAGACATAAAGAAAGGGGTTGAGGCAGCTGTTGAGGCAGCCCAGGGAGAAGGCAGCCCACAGGACGAGCATCATCTTAGGCCAGTGGGATTGCTTTTGCATCATCAGTAGCCCTGACTGGACCAGGAGCGCCATGTTGAATGGGAACCAGAAGAGGAAGAAGGCATTCACTAGCACCAACAGCATTCTCTTCGGCCTGCTGCTATGGACCCAGCCTACCTGCCGGAGCTTGGCCTGGATGAGGTGGGCACAGGTGCCAATGATCACCAAGGGCACCAAGAAGCCCAGCAGGAAGTGAGTGATGGCCACGGCCATCTGTCCCTTCCAAGACGTTGGCTCCCCATCCCGGGTGACCTCGTTCTGTAAGTTGAACTTGAAGTAGCAGTAGTCACATCCATTCACTTTTCCAGTGGCCCGGAATTTCAGGTAGGGAGAGCACGCCGTGGCAGCCAGGAGCCACACACCGAGGGCCAGCCAACTGGCCCGTCGTGCGGTGCGGTGGTTTCGGGCCCAGACAGGGTAGAGAACAGAGAGGCAACGGTCCACGGAGATAAGGACCAGGAAGTAGATGCTGGCGAAGAGGTTCAGGGCCAGAAAGGCCATGTAGAGCTTGCAGACCAGATTGTCGAGGGGCCACTGGCCGAAGGCAACATTGTGGATGGCGATGGGCAGGAACAGCAAGCCCGAGAAATCAGCAAGGGCCAGGTTGAAGAACCAGATGGTGGTGACGGTCCGGGCCATTCGGAAGACGGTCATCCACAGCACCAGCCCGTTGCCCAGCACACCCATGGCGAAGGACACGGACAGCACTGCTGTGGTCAGCTGGCGGAGGTACCCCATCTGCTCAGGCTGGCACTCGGAAGCACTCATCTTTCTAGAAAAGGATCATCACATGTCAGAGCCAGAGGCTGCTTTTCACTAGAGCCCACAGTCCCCTGGAAGACCCTAGTCGTCCATTCCTCCATTCAGTAACTTTTTATTGGCTGGGAGTGGGGGCACAGGCCTGTAATCCCAGTGGCTCAGAAGGCTGAGGCAGGAGGATCATGAGTTCAAAGCCCACCTCAGCAAGGCCCTAAGCAACTCAGGGAGACCCTGTCTCTAAATAAAGCACAAAAAAGGGCTGGGATGTGGCTCAGTGGTTGAGTGCCTCTGGGTTCAATGCCTGGTGCCAAAATAATAATAATTTTTTATTGAGTGCCGTTTATATCACAATGATATTCTTCTAGGTACGGGAGATGAGTAATGTAGCAAGGCAAGCCTTCACAAAACTTGTAGCCTAGGAAAGTATGTCAGACGTAACACCTAAAATAAGTAAATCTGTGATGAACCGCTTTAGAAGATGACATGTTATAGGAGAAAGTCAAAAGGAGCGGTTCTGATTTTTGGTAATATTAGCGAAGCTTTTTCAAAGAGTCCTAGAGTCAAAAAAATTACAAACACTAGACAACAATATCAAAGATCAATCTACTGATCGAAAACACTGGAGAGTAATCAAAATTAGGCATAAACTAGAGGAGAATCTCCCCAATGGAGGGTTTTAGTTTGCATCTTTTGTGTGTGCTCACTATGCTGACCCTACAGCTCCCAGATGCAGTGGTGCACGCCTGTAATCCCAGCAGTCTGGGAGGATGAGACAGGAGGATCCCGAGTTGAAAGCCAGCCTCAGCACAAGTGAGGTGCTGAGCAACTCAGTGAGACCCTGTCTCTAAATAAAATACAAAATAGGGCTGGGGACGTGGCTCAATGGTTTAGTACCCTTGAATTCAATCCCCAGTACCAGAAAAGAAGAAAAATTCTACCTGCCCAGCTGATTTGTGTTATGCGAGGACAAAGATAAGAGCAAGGAAATTGGCCATAAAGATAGTAGGAGGAAGAGAACTGGGGAAGGAAGCCACCCATTGGGTAAACACCAAAATCTGCATTCAAAGCCCATCCAAACCTTTTCCTGACTAAATTATGCATGTCTGGGGGAGACACCAAGATGCCTGGTGGAAAAGGAACAGTTGAAATTAGAAATTCCAGAGCACAGATTTCAACCATCGACCACAGAGGTGACACAGACTTTGGGGTTTCAGTCCAGCCAACTTAATTGTCTGCCAAAACAAAAGTCACTTTTCAAAGGAACATAACACAATGCAGATTCTCAATGTCACTCATGATCTCCAATCTGTGTGTGAAAACCTCTAGACATGTGAAGTAACAGAGATGTACAGGCCACGCTCAAGAAAAAAGCAGCATTACAAAAACCCTGGGGTGACATGGATAGTGTAACACACAAGGATGTTAAATCACCTGATACAAATGTGTTCGAAGACTTCAAGGAAAAGGTATTCGTAATAAACAAACTGGAGGCCCACCGCCTGCTTAGAGGTCACTCTGGACGTCTTGACCAGAAAAACTGCTGACCTTCGGAATCAGAATATCCTGAAATTAGGATGTTCTCTCCAAGGCTGACTGAGAGACAAGGAAGCACAGATCGCTCCCCTCAGCTGTTTGCAAAATGCTGTGCTCATTCCCTTTTAATTCTATCTAGAGTTCCAGCTTGCTGGCACAGAGAACTGCTTGCTAAAATAATAAAATCGAGCAGCTCAGCACTCACGGCAGCTTTTAATCACATCTCTGGTTCTATGCTCCTGAGAACATGCCTGCTTGTTCATTTATCTCTAGTTCTGGGTTCCTTAGAACACCGTACCATTGTTCATTCCTCCTATTAAAAAAATAAAATGCTGCTCAGCCTGGGACTTCCCTTCATCCTGAGTGAAGTCACCTGATCCCCCGCTTTAAAACAACTTTGTCTCTGTGTCATTGTTCACTCGATGTGTCCAGGGTTCAGCTGGTCTGGCCTGGCAAATAAATAGTGTGGGTATTCTAGTAGAAAAGAGGAACTATAAAAAGAGAAGTAACCAACAATTCTAGATATGAACAGTTGAGATTTCATCAAATGGAAATATGGGCTTCAGAGGTGGGAAATGACCTCGGTGAACTTGAAGATAGATCAGTAGAAATGTCCCAACCGGAAAGATGAAGGAAAAAAAAAATTAAAGAAAAATGACTAGGCCACCCGGGACGCTGTGGAACAATACAAGTCAGTCCACCCTAGAAGTAGTGGGATTTCAGGGCAGAAAAAGCAAATGAGACAGAGAAGTCTTTGCAAAATAAATAAATAAATGAATAAATAAATAAATAACCCTAAATATACCAAAGTTAGCAAAAGACATTGTCTTACAGATCCAAGAATTTCAACGAAGTCCAAGCAGAATAAATACAAGAAAATCACTCCCAAGGCACAGTGCAGGAAGAAGAATGAACTCCAAAGATAAAGAGGCAATTTTGAAAAAAAAAAAAAGCTCCATAAAAATGACACTTTACATAAAGCAAAACGTTGATATGAATATGAGCTGACCGATCACAGTGGGCGGGGCCATGAATGGAATGGTGACTAAGGTGCTGAAAGAAAAAGGGGAAAAAAGTCCATTTGGGATTTTACGACCTGTGAAGATATCCTTCAACAATGAAGGACATTTTCAAGTAAAACAAGTTGAGATGATTGACGGTGAGCCGACCACAAGGAAGGCTAGAGGAAGCTCTGGGGGCTGGAAGGAAATGATAGCAAATGGTAACACGTTTCTCAGGAAGAATGAAGAGGGTGAAATGCTTTCTTAGAAAATCCAGGTAAAGGAGGGGCATTGGGAATGTGGAGGCTGGGGCGGAAGAGGAAAGGCTCAGGACACACCCTGAAAGATTGATTGATTGATTGATTGATTGATTGATTTGGCTACAACCCCCAAATCTGTCTCACTCAGGTCCGGAGCAATGAAGTGAGCCTTCTATGGACTGAGACCTCTGAAGCCATGAGCCCCAAACGAACTTCTCCTCTTCTACAATTGTTGTTGCCAGGTCTTTTGGTCACAGTGGTGACACAGCTGAGAAGGGACGGACACCCAGAATGCATCTAAGGAGCTCAACCCAGCAGCAAAAAATAATCTGGTTCCCTCAATGGACAAACGTTGGGAGCAGACATTTGTCAAAGGAAGGTCTACAAATTGCCAGCAAGTGCGTGAGAAAATGCTCAGTCCTTGATCATCAGCGAAATGCAAATGGAAACCGCAATGGGACACCACCTCACCCTAGTTAGAAGAGCTGCCATCAAAAAGAAAAAGGAACAACGCTGGAGAGTTCAGAGAAGGGGAGCCGCACACACTGCTCGTGGGGATGTAAGAAACAGAGCCGCCTCCTGGTCTGGTGGGCCGCTACTGGTGCAGACCCAAAGGAAACCAGGCAATAAGTCGAGGAGTCGCCTGCACCCGCGTGTTTATTGAGATGCCGACAAGAAATCAAGTTAGGTGTCCATAAGCAGTAGAATATTATTCAGCCATGAGAAGAGCAGTGAGAGTGACAGCAGAGAGGGAAGAGGCCTGACCATGTAGGACACTGTGGGTCCTGGTGAGGACTCCCACAGCTTTCCCCCTGGGAGCCACCAGAGCCTTTTTTTTTGTTGTTCAATTTGTTTTTATTCCTCTCCAGAGCCTGCCGGTACCCCCATCTCCCTTCACTTACCACATCCCAGCTTCCCTGCTCCGTGTCCATTGCTGAGACTCACCTTGTCCTCTCTTGCCTCAGGGCCTTGGCACATGCTCCGCCCTCTGTCCTGACACCCTTCTTTCCCCTGCCTTTTGTTTTCAAACTCCTTCTTGATTTCTCAGTGTAGATCTCACTTTGTCCCCCAAGCCTTCCCTGGTCACCTTAACTAAAGCCAGGCTCTCCCCTGGGGACTTTTTAGAAATGAAGGGATTGCTATGGGCAGCCATGTCTACATGATTCACATCCTTCCTCTCGGGTCCCCAGTGATCTCTGAGTTCTGTCAAAATGAGGCCCTTGTGGGGCTGGATCACCAGCTCCCAGTGCACAGTAGGCGGTCAATCAGTAATTGGAGGGTGGGTTAAAGGCAATCTCCTGCTGGGTGCGGTGGCCCTTGCAACCCAGGAGGCTGAGGCAGGAGATTCACAAGTTTGAGGCCAGTCTCGGCAACTTAGCTAGATCCTGTCTCAAAAAAGAATAAATTTTTTTTTAAAGGGGCTGGGGGTGTGGCTCAGTGGTTAAGTGCCCCTGGGTTCAGACTCTGGTACCAAAAAAAAAAGCAATCTTTGCCATTGGAAGGTGGATTCTCACCCATTTCACCTAGAAACACACCGTGAGCGGGTGCTGGGTGCCAGACACCACCCCACGCGCTGGGCCCAGCGGTGGGCCTCAGGATTCCAGGATTCCAGGATTCCACACCCACCTCAGGTGCCAGACACCGCCCCATGCCCTGGGCCTCAGTGGGCAGACCTGAGAGGCAGGAGAAAGCTCTTCCCGGGAGGTGACCCAGAAGGGCAGCCTCCCTGTCACCTCCCTCTGTGCACACCGCACCTATGCCTGAGACCCCTCCCAACAAACCCCGGTCCCTTGTCACCCACCGTGTCCGAGGGTGGGAGTGGGGTCCAGGGCTCCGCCTGCCTCCGACGTCTGCCCCCGCAGCTGCCAGCCAGGAGCCCAGGTTGGGAACAGGAAGCAGCTAGTGAATTTGCAGGGACAGATAAGGGTTCAGGAGAGTCTTGAGCAAGAGCTCTGGTGGCCCCAGAGATCAGTATAAGAGTGTGTGAAGGGCCTGTCCCTAGATGTGGGTCCAATAGGCTCAGGGCCTGGGAGCGAGCAGGAGTCCCTCCAGCTCCCTGCTCTGCCCTTCCTGGCGTCCTGAGGTGAGTTCAGATATGCAAAGCACTGGGAGCGCCCCTGGCACAGAGCCCGCGCCCAAGCTTGGCCAGCTGTCATCCCTGAGAGGACTTCCCTTCTACAGAGGGTTCCGGCGGCTGCACTTCACGGGACGCTTGAGAGACACCAAATAAAAGACAACATGGAAAAGGCTGCACGCTCTCTTTTCCCTTGGAATTTCTACTTCGGGTTCCTGGAAGACCTCTTAGAAATGGATTGCCCAGAGGGACACACAGGTGGAGCGTCCTTTGTCTGAAATAGTTGGGACCAGAAGTGTTTCTGATGTTGACCCCCTCCCCCATGGATTTAGGAATGTCTGCTCATACAGACTGCCGTGTCTTGGGGTGGACCTACGGCTCACCTGAGATGCACACACACCTTCTGCACGCAGCCTGAGTGTGAACTTAAACACTGCTAGGGTGCACAGTGTCTGTGCCTGTGGGGTTTGGCTTTGTTTTGTTTGGGGCACCAGGGATTGAACCCAGGGGCACTTGACCACTGAGCCACACCCACAGTCCTTTTTATATTTTATTTAGAGACAGGGTCTCACTGAGTTGCTGAGGGCCTTGCTAAGTTGCTGAGGCTGACTCTGAACTTGTGATCCTCCTGCCTCTGCCTCCCAAGCCGCTGGGCTTACAGGCGTGCGCCACTGTGCCTGGCTATGCCTGTGGTTTTGGCTATCACCCAACCCTTGAGGTCAGGTGAAGAATGCTCCACCCATGGTGTATGCCAGTGCTCAAAATGTTTTGGATTTTGGAGCATTTCCGATTAGGGATGCTTAACTTGTACAACTAAAATGAAGTATTCCCCAAATTGAAATCTTTTTTTTTTTTTGTCTAAAAAAATTCAAAAACAATAAAACAAAACAAAACTGCATTTTAGAAAATGCCTCAACAGAGGCAGGAACGGTCACCAGAGTGTGGAGACCTTCTTTGGATCATGTGTGACTTCCGCGCCTTGTTCTGTCGACATCTTTATCCCCCACCCCCACAAGCAGTTGATTTGGGGAGATACTGGGAGATTGAACCTGGGGTGTTTTACCTCTGAACACAGGACTGCTCTACTCTGGGGATTGAACCTGGGGTGCTTTACCATGTCCCCAGCCCTTTCTATCTTGAGACAGAGTTTTGCTAAGTTCAGGAACTTGGCCTTGAACTTGTGATCCTCCTGCTTCAGCCTCCTCGAGCAGCTGATTTTAAAGTCCAGATATCACATTATTCCAACAGAGAATAACTCAGTATCTTTGGTATGTTTCAGATATGGGTTGAGTGTGCCCCACCCCAAGCATTCTGTGTTGCAATTTAACCCCAAATTTGAGGTATTCAGAGGGTGGAAGCTTCCAGCTGGGAAGGCTGAGGTGGGAGGATCACAAGTTCAAGACCAGCCTCAGCAACTTGGTGAGACCTTGTCTCAAAATTAAATTTAATAAAGGGCTGGGGATGTGGCCCAGGGGCAGAGCAACCCTGGGTTCAATCCTAAAAAAAAAAAAAAAAAAAGTGGAAACAGCATAATCTAATTGTGATGTTTAGGGTTGGGGACTTTGGGGATGATTGGAATTGGATAAGGTCATCAGGAACCCCAAGACTGGGTCCCGTAGGCTTTACAGGAAGCCCTTCTAATTTTCTCTTAACTATTATAAGGTTTGGGGGGGCGGTGGGAGGCCCAGCTTGCCTCAATCACTTTTGACGCAGAGTCATTCAGGTGCTTAGGTTTCTAAGCCATAGCAGCTCTGTGATAGCTAGGACAGGGCTTGGGAAACGTCCCTGTAAAGTGACAGAGAACAAATGTTTGGGGCTCCTGGGGGAACACAGCCCAGGCTGCCAGCACCAGCTCTGCCATCGCATCAGGAGACCAAATCCACAGAAAACAGGATGTGGCTGTGGCCGTGCCTGGAAAATTTTCTTTATGAATGCCGAGTTCTGAAGTTCATATCACCGTTATGTGCCATGAATATTCTCCTTCTTTTGATCTTGTCCAGCTGTTAAAAAAATATGAAAACCATTCTTAGCTCAGAGGTGGCACAAACAGCGAGTCCTGGGGCCCAGAGTCTGCCGTCCCTGAACCGGACACCAGCCCAGCTCCGGCCAGGAGGCTGCTTCAAAGATGGTGAGGGCCCAGAATCGTCACCACGGGGCTCCTGACCCGCTCTGCAATTCCGCCTTATCATCAGCATCTCCAAATACAGCTCCATCTCCACCAGCTCCTCACCTGTCCCCACCCATGCCCGGGTGGCATCAGAGGTGTGTTGTCAGAAGATCTCCTGGCTCAGAGGGGTCAAGATGTGCTTTTTTGAATCATCAAGTTCAAGTTCAAGACCAGCCTCAGCAACTTAGTGAGACCTTGTCTCGAAATAAAATTTAATAAAAGGCTGCGGATGTGGCCCAGGGGCAGAGCAATCCTGAGTTCAATCCTAAAACAAAAAAACAAACAAACAACAACAACAAAAAAAAAAAAAACCCCACAGAATTTCAATACACAATGCCCAGGGCACAGAATACATGGTACCTCTTCCAAAGGCGGAGCCTCCTTAACCAGAGCCAGTGACTTTTCTTTTTCTCTTAGTTGACAGGGGACTTTATTTTATTTGTTTTTATGTGGTGCTGAGGACTGAACCCAATGCCTCACACATGCTAGGCGAGCACTCTGCCACTGAGCCCCAGCCCCAGCCCCAACCGGTGCCTTTTCTAAAGGCAACACAAGACAATCTGTGAGGCTGTTCTCGCCAGGCTGTGCTCTACCTGGATTTGGGGATTGCTTCTCGCTGTGGTGAAATCCTAAAAGTATTTCTCCTGCTGCTACATAATCTGCAGCTTTTTAAAATCATGGTGCCCCATGAAGTGTTAATGGCATCCTTACCCAATCCTTTCTTGGCCCCAATGGCCCGAAAGTCAGGGGTGTTTTTTCTTCCTAAGTGTTTTGCTATTATAAATAGGGCTGCAAATCATGTCTTTGAAGATAAAGCTTTTCTCCACATTTAGGATTATTTATTTGTTCTGGATTCCCACAAGTGCCCCACAGAAGAAAAGATCTTGTCTTTACCATCCAGGAGGATATGAGAACCTTACGACAGCACAGGAAGGATTCTTCCCCAGCCTCATCCAGTGGCTCCGGGGATTCTTGTTAGATTCCCCCCTTTACTGGGACAACTGGTGGTGTGTGTGTATGTGCGCGCGCGTGCGTGTGTGTGTGTGTGTGTGTGTGTGTGTGTTTTGCTGGGGATCAAATCTTGCACATGTGAGGCAAACACTTCACCACTGAGCGACAAACCCAGCCCCGATTTTGGGTCTTGTGTCGTGGAGTGCCTTCCTGAAATGGTCTGTGGCTGTTTCTGTGTGTGAACCATCTCCTCACGTCTCTTGTCTACCTGCCTCCTGGAATCCAGCTGCCCCTCCCTTTCCTATGCCCTTTACAGAGAAGATTATAAACTCTGCTTCTGTCACAGGGGAGACAAGTGCTCCCCCCATTCTAAGTCTATTTCTTGACTTGTCAGGAAATTTTAGGCTGAGGTTTTATTTTTTTAATAAGCTGAGTTATTAGTTCAAAGGCTGTCAAATCTGTATCCTTAATACAAGAAAAAAAATTAAGTATGTTAAAATTCAAGCTGTGTTGGCACACAGTATGATCCACACTTTTTAGGGGCAGTTCTGAGATTCCTCAAATGCATAACTTGTGTGGCCAGCCCAGTCGTGACACAGAAGAGTTCTGTTGCCCCAGATTCCCTGTGCCCTTTCACACCTGAGTATTTTAAAACAAAAGAAGAATGCAGGAAGATGGGAGTCTGTCAGAGTGGCCGCTGAAAGATGCAGGGCTTCTTCTTGAGGTGGAGAAAATGTTCTAAAATTGACTGGGGGGCAGTTGCACAAATCTGTGCCATACACTTGAAGTGTGTAAGTTGTCTTCTACGTGAATCTCAATAATCATTAGCTCTAAACTAAGCCACACACGTTTGCTTGCAATTGCATTAAACCTATAAATCATTTGTCAGGTCTTGACACCCGTGTGACCGTCAATCACCCCAACCAAGAGCCAGGGACATCTTTGTTTTTATTTTGGCTATCCTGAAGTTCCATTCAAATTGGAGATTAAGTTTAAGCAGCAGAAGTTTATTCTTTCTTCTTTGCTAATTTTTGCACGATTATTAGCTTTGGGTGGGATTTAAATGGTATATTTAATATAGGATGTTTGTTTATTGCTGATGTAAAGAAATGGAATTGATTTTTCTCGGGTTCATCTTGCCACAGGAGACCTTGCTGATATCTCTTATTTTTGGTCTAGTAGTTTATCTGCTCATTTATTGACTTTACCGGGTATAAATTATATCATATTTAAGTAGTGGCAGCTTTCTCTCTTCCTGTCTAGTCTCCACACCTCTTGTGTCCTTTTCTATTTCAAGGAAACGTTAGTCAGGACTTATCTTCGGCTCTACACAGAGCAACAGCCATAAGGGGGACATCCTGGCCCGCTCGTGATCCAGAAGGAACGCCATCCAAAATTTCTGTGGTGTTTGCTGGAAGCTCTATGCAGTTAAGAAAGTTCCCTTCTTTCCTTGGTTTGCTAAGTATTCTAGCTTTTAATCATGGACAGGTGGCCAGCCTTATCAAATTGGTTTTCCACATTAATTGAAACCATGATATTTTCTTCCCTGGTCCACTGACATGATGAATGACACTGAAAGATTCTACAAAGTCCGAACCATCTTTGTATCAGAGGCCCAGATTCTACCTGATCATGATGAATTTTGATCCAACATTAGATTTAATAGGTTATTTATT